ACTTCGCGCACATGACCGATCCACCACTGTAGATCTTTTACTGCATCTGGGGTTAGACTGACTAAAGAGACAAAATTCTCTCGGCTTCTTTATGTCGAAAATTGAGAAGCTGTTGCAGAGCCCGGAAAAGTAAGGGCCTTGGAAGAATGGCTTGCTTGGCGGACTCTAACAGCCCCACCACGCTGGCTAGCTGTCTGATTCCTATCACCTCCTGTTCTAGAAGTGATAGGCAAGAACTCACTACCTTGTCTAACTTGTCTTCGGTTAGGTAAATTGTCAAAGTACGAGAATCGAGAACAAGGCCTAGGAAAATCGCTACCTGAGACGGTACCAACCGCGACTTCTCCAGGTTGAGAACAACCGAGTTGCTCTAGAAGCTCTCTGCCTATAGCAATGTGCTCTAAGCATTGTTCCCCCGACCTTGCAATGATCGGTAAGTCGTCTAGGAAAAACTACTACTAGTAATCCAGGGGTCTCCCCAAGCAATGAAACAAGGGCGCTGCGCCTCTCAAAAAATTTTCAAATGTAGGGTCTTCTCTTCGTACTTTTGCTTGTGTTAGCTTGGCTAATTCGTGAAATTTTGCTGATTTGGGGGCCAAGCGGCGTCACTATGCCCATCGGTATTGTCTGACAAAAGTTGTAAAAAGGCGCTATTTGAATATCCACTTTGTTACACAAAATCAATGTGTTTGGTAAAATGTTGACACCCTGCTGGCATTTGAAAATCCTATTTTCATGTAAACAACGCTAATTTCTCCATGAAATACAGCCCAAACAGTCAGAGAATAGATTTTTAGGGGCTAGTACTAGTATATGGCGATCGTAACGTGGAAAATCCCCTTTCAAAATTCGGCAACATGGAAGAAAAATAACTCACGAAAATCTTCCCTTCAAATGGGGAATCAGTGCTCCAACAAATTAAACATATAGAGAAGAACATTTCTTCTTTGTTGTGACCTTGTATTCAATCCATTTTTACGAGTTTTGGACACGTTTTCGTGGCCTTGAACATAGAAATGTGTAGCGCTCGGCACGAGGTCGGCCATCTTGTTTTCTTCAAATCTCCCGATATCTCGCGAGATTCAGTGAGACTTGGGCAAAAACACTGCAGTTTTGACCAAAACCGCTAGATGGCTAGGGTAGAATTACAGGTTTGTTGTTGTAGGGACGAAAAATGTAACCCTTTTAGTTTGAGGAGTACTTGTTGTAGCTATAGTTAAACTTTGAACGGTTGGACTTAGAAGTGCTCGAAGGGGCTGACTTATAAGCCTTACTCAAAGTGCGTCTAGCCTAATCGGCTGAATTAACCTTCTCCAAAAAGGTGTCTCCAAATTAAGAAGGGGAAGAATCTGAAGTTCCCGAGCAGGTCGCTACATTTTTGAGCGAGGACTTTACTCACAAATTTGGAGTTTAACTGCTGCCAACAACTACTCTACTAAAAGGTTAGCAGCCATGAGCATCTTATCCTGGCAATCACTAAAATTCTTATCAGTGTTTACGGTATCATGCTTGATCATATTAGCCACTACTGGGTCTAGAATCGGCGCCCGAAGTGCTAATTCAACATTAGGTGGAGTGGGAAAAGTTTTCCTTCCTCTCTCCACTAAGGGTTCGGACCATCCTCTAAACCCGATGCTGTTTGCAACGCGATAGAATCGTCTTTGGTGTTTTTTGGGATCAGCTTCCTCTACTATGACTCAGTATAGACGTGAATTATGTGTGGCAAGGACATGAAACAAGATATGAAGCATGTCTTCAAGACCGATTTTCCCACCGGTTCCTCCAAATACTTATTTGAAGTTATTATCGTAGGGATTATCAAACGACAAGGAGTTACCTTCGTCAGAGTAGGAAAAAGGTGATTTTTTCCTTCCTCCGAACACTCTTCCACTTCAGAACCTGGATGCTCTCGCCGGAACCGACTACACCGGCTCGGCTGGTCGACGCTACCGCCCCGTCAACGTCCCGAGGTTGACGGGATGAACTGGACGCCTGAGGAAGTCCCAAGCTGGAACTGATCCATTGAAGAAAAGAGGCAGCGTCGAATCCAGGCGGGAAGGGTGTTTCTGATGGAGGTGGGGGTGGAGGAGACTATTCCCCACCAAGCTTCGGCACGGTCGGGGAGCCCAACTCCTCCGAGTCCGGAGGAAATTTAGGCCGGGGCGGCGGCAGCTCCGCGCCGTCTCCTTCCTTGACCGATGTTCCCGGTGCCAACGCCGAAGGGGCATTTCGCTCCCAAGTGGCGGATGTTCCCGGTGCCAACGCCGAAGGGGCATTTCGCTCCCAAACGGCGGAATGAGGTTGGAGTTCTTCTCTTTTTCCTCCGAACCTCCAGCTGTAGGAGCGGGGACTTTTCGTTCACCCGACTCCTCTTCCTCCTGTCCGGAGGCTTGTGCGGACACGCCTGTGTTTTCCACGGCCAGGAATTTTTCCTGACTAGCGTTGGGAAACAGGCCGCTTCTCTTGCCGTTACGACCCGTCTGGTCCTCCGAAAGGCTACCTGAATCGCCCTCGTGGGCAGAAGACTTCGTTTTATACTTCTTTTTGGGCCTAACGCCGAAAGAAAATCCGAAAAAATAAGGAGTAGGGAAACGAACGTGCACCCCTCTGCGAACGCACAAGGAAAATGGCGGCGAACAATGTCATTACGTCATGATATCCCGTGATGCTTTGCGATTAGAGCTTTGTACACGTGCGCCACCTAGCGATAAGCATAGGAAATACTGCATAAGGTAAATGATATACCCAAATAGGGAGTGTGCAGGTATAATCAGAATTTTGGGTAAAAAAAAGTTTTAATTATTATCGATCTAGATGTCTCCTGAGTCTGATTTTAACTTTTTTTCTTAGCCTTAGTGGCTAGTAAAATTGGCCATGGGAGTCCGCCCGCGGGGAGGTTTCTTTCCCTCCGACCAGTCAAACCCCAACTGCGCGGCCACTCAAACCTCAAGGCGGCCAAACTCCCCTGGCAATTATTCTCCTACATATAGCCAGCGTAGTTAGTCTGGTAGAGACTAACATGATACCATATGGAATGTAATCTATCTATTTGTCATTTGTATACTGTTTTGCTTGGTAAACATCTGTTTGCTTTCTAAGTACCATTTTAATCATTAGCCTAGAGTCGAGAAAAAAGACCAAGACTACTATCCAAGCAGTGGTTTGGGTTTTGGGTTATTTTTGGCGTGTTTTTAGTGTTAGTTTATGTTTTTTTTTGCACTGGACTTTTTCTTTCAAAAAAAAAAGGCAAAACACAAAATCCAAACATCTTTTTGGAGAGTAGGGCAAGACAACTCTTTGACCCGTAAAATCTCGGACAAAGTAACGACGTATCATTACATGTTTATACTATACGTCTCGTATGTTTTACACCTAAAAACTTACCTTATTCGGATGGTGCTCGCCTCGTAGCTGTCTGTTGTAAGCCTCCCAGGAAGGGAAACCGAAGGCAGAGGCGACTAGGATGAGAATTACCGTGGCAAGAAGGTGGCCACAGACGCTACAACCCGACATCTTTCCGAGGCAGGGTTGCTTCCTCACTAGTACGGCAGCACCCCTGCAAAAACCACCAGGCCAAAAGACTGACGAGCTTCAACCAATTTAGAGGCATACGGCTTTTGTTGAATTTGGGTAATCTGGGCGCTGATTGGTTTGCCGCAAAATAAGGCAAGATTTTGAATATTTAACTGGTTACGGATAAGACAACTAGATTTCTGCATGCACACATCCTCTACAAGTGGATGCTCTATTGTTCCAACAGCATGATATGGTAAACGACAACAAGAAAAACTGGTTATGCCACTATACTATTCCCCTAGAGGGTTTTGTACAAGTATTTATAAGATAAGATAAGATTGGCTGAAGCTCGTCAGCCTGTAGAACTGGTTTTGCAACTTTTGGCCGGGTGGTTTTTGCAGGGTTGCTGCCGTACTAGTAAGAAAGCACCACTGCATCGGGAAGATGTCGGGTTATAGCGTCTGTGGCCACCTTCTTGCCTCGGTAATTCTCATCCTAGTCGCCTCTGCCTTAGGTTTCCCTTCCTGGGAGGCTTACAACAGACAGCTACGAGGCGGGCACCATCCACATACGGTAAGTTTTAGGTGTAAAACATTAAACGTTAATTATACATAGTGCAAAAAAAGACCCCCCCCCAAAAAAAGTCTAA